TTTGTCTGTATACATAAATGACCTTTTCCAATTCTTGCTATATATGTATATTATTCTTCCGTTTTTCTTTTTCTAAATGATCCCTTAGGAAACATACTCTATCAAATATAACAGTCATCAATTTCGTTTAGAAATTTACAAGTATACATTGATGTATGTGATAGACTGATCATCATTGATGAGAGAATAAAAACAATACATGATTATAAAGTTCATTTAATGATCTTACTGGTGTTTATCTCACATGAAATATGCTCATCAATAAACTATGCAAAAATAAAAAAATGAAATATTCGTTTTTAATCTTTGTTTCATCAACGATTATAGAAATATATACAATTTTTCTTTTTGTCTCTGTTAAGTATTCACATTCAGAAGCAGACTAATTTCTATCAGCAATGATTAGATAATTAGAATGTTACACTTGGCGCGCACTTTTCTTCTTCTTCATCAGAACCAAAACAACAACAAACAATCACTCGACGCGCTAATCGGTTTTCGATGACATATAGACCATAGCATAAGACATGCACAGACAGTAGCTAGTCAATCGGTAATCTTTTACGGTTAATCCAATCGAGTGCCTGAAGGGGTCAGACGAAACACACGCTCAATTACATAAGACAATACTGAAGATGCATGCTGTCTTTATTTCCTTTTGTTCATCAAAAGAAAATATGTACAGTTGTCAATCAAATAAAGAAAATGATTAGGAAACAATTAGATATTTTTCTTCATATCTTATAGATTTAAGAATATTTATTTGAATTCTATTCGTTTCAGATTTATTGTCATAAGAACATTTGTAATATTTTTTTGTTGATGAAAAATAGTTTCATTATAAATCAATCGATTATATCTTTTAGTTCTTTATTATCTTGTTCCAATTCATTCGTTTACTTTAGTTATTGTCGGCATAGTTTCTTTAGATTTCAACATCTTATCTAGAGAAAAATAAGTGAAGAATTTTCATATCTTTTCTTTTCTTTTTCTTTTTTTTTGATAACAATCTGTTCTAGTAGTAAACGTTAGAGACAATGTGAAATTGATATCATTGATATACAGATGTTCATTGTCGCGCTCTGATTATTTAACTGGCACTACTCGTTTTACTATACATTATGGGACAATGCCACTTTTCTTTGACTTGATCATATATCAAATCAAATAATATGAAGTGTAGAAATTTTACAAAGTTTTCTTTTTTCTTAATAATATATAGAAAACGAATAGATCTCATCAGTTATATACATATATATATATATATACTTATTCATTCATTCATCGTATAGAAGAACAATGAGTGAACGGCATTCGATTTGACGTGTGTACACTCTACGCATACTTATCGTTCTTTTCTTCTACTTTACTATCATTGCATTCATTAACTTGCACGAACTCTTGAGAAAAAAGTAAGTTCATAAAAAATAATAATAGAAACTAGATTTCCTTCCTTTTAACGATTAACTTATACAGTTTTTTTTTAATCAATCTAACAAAGAAATACATAAATCTATTATATTATTATCAATATGTAGTATTTGTCTCAAGTAGTGACCATATGTTAACCATTGAATAAGTATTTATATAACGCATAACTTGAAAAGCATTGAATTTATCAATTAGTTTGTACATGATGAACCAAAGCTCTTCTTTTTTTCTGTGTTGTCTTTTATTTGATATGAGTCGTATTTAGAGGATTATATAAGCAAATAAAAAATCTGAAGTTGACACTTGTAAGATGTCTCCGTCGGGCTAAACAAGACGATAAGAACAATTGAGACAAAAAAACAAACGTCAAAATATCAACAAAAGATCACTATTATCATTTTAAATACATTCAATATATATGTATTTATAGTATGAGTTAAAAATGAGATCAGTTTTTTTTTTTCTTGCATTTTATAAGTGTCAATTTTCAGTGCATATGAAAATTGAACGTAAGTATGTTTACTTTTTGATTGTATATGATCAAAAACAAAAAGAAGGAAAATGCAAAATTGATTTTGCTTCTCTGTTATCCATAAGCAAAGATTTAGATATAGAATATATTTCAAAGAAAGTTGATATATATGCTTATTTATCTATTGACAAAACAGATAAATATAGTTGAGTAATCGAATGCATATATATACACACATCTGTTTCTCACACAACTATTTTTTTTATATCAATACATATATATATATATATAGAAAACAAATGTGTTGGAAGACAGTTAAAGACGACAAAAAACATTTGATTATTTCTTCTGTTCTTAAGGCAAAAGAAAAATTAGATGGGCAACAGATCGTTTAAGAAAATTGTTAAATCGATGTAAATTAGTATCTTTAGTGTGCAACATATTTTTTAAGTAGATATTACTATTGAATAGTTAGAACATGCTTAGAATCATAATGAGATGATGATGATCATATATATATATATATGTATATATTTATATATACAATTTGAAAACATACTCCTCAAGTATGAAGGTTATTTATTCGTTATTTTACCTTCAAAATCTCATATAATGAATCTTTTGCTGTTTCACACGTCATCAAAAAATGTATAATGGTTGCAATTGATAATTAGACAATTTTTTGTCGTCTGAACATTGTACATACTGAAGAACAATTGTCGACCTCCTCTGTCTCCTTTTTTAACGGTCGCTATTAGTAAGTGAAATAAAAAAATAATAATTAAATCGTTTAACAATGACAAAAGAAAGAAAAACTTGAAAGCAAAGTAGTCATAGTCGATACAGATTGTGCGTAACATTGACAATGAAATAGGCAATATATACATATACATATATATATATACATATGCAGAACAGAAAAAGAGACATTAAACATATTGAACGATTCTGTAGCGAAAAAAAAAATCTACGCTTGTGTGTATGTAAAGAGCTATAATAATAGTCGATGAAAAACCTATTAAAATCAAGGACTATATCGAACGAAAAGAAACGAAAAAGAAGGCGACATGTTGACCGACAAGATAGGTTATTGATTATTCTCGTACTTCGAAGACATGAAGATGACGCGTGTATATACTATAATTTTCTATCATTGTTTTCTTTTTTTTTTTTTTTTTTTTTTTGTTTTTTATCTACTTATTAAATCGAAACTGACCGACTTTATTTTATTTTCTATATCTGTAAGTATCCGATGACTCAAGTCGGGACAATAATATAGGATTAGAGAATTAATTCGATTAGAATAGAGCCATTGGTCATTCATCTTCTCACATTGCGTCTCTATTGGAAAAATCTACATTTGACTAGACATTTAGAGTCGTGTGTGAATGCATGTTAATTTCTATTACCATGATTATTAAAAGGAAATGAAAATGAATGAATGAATGACTAACACCATTTGCAGTTCTCACACACACATATATATATATATATATAAACATAGATCATTATATGTCATCATTAACGGAAATGACTTCTTCTATTCAATGACAATAGAAGTAAGTAAAAAGTATACATATATGAAAAGAAACATACGTTTCGAATTAATTCAAGAGACACATAGAGTGATAATGAAAACTGTATTATCATCTCATGAGTACAATCATTGTCGAGTTCGATTAACATGATGCAACCTTTACTGAAAATGGCCACTCAATGCATTCATGGCAGGTACTTCTTACTGATTGACTATGAGTAGTGTTCGTCGATATGCTTGTATAGCAGCAGGATAGAGAGACAATGCATGTATGTATTTGACGTTAATAATCTCCTTGTGAGTTACAATAGGATAGAGGAGTAAAAGAAAGAACCTTCATCACTGATTAATTCAAGAATACTCTCTTTTGTTATCTTATAGTCTATAGACAATACACCATGACGATTGATAATTGGACAAATTTTGATAAAAACCGAGGTCATATGTATCTATCATATAATTTATTGTATAGAAAAGACTTATGTTCATCAAGACACTATCTACTCGTAACGGCTCAGTAGTTAAAGTATCGAAAAAGTATATTATATAAAGCGCAAAAAAAAAAATCGAACACCTGCTAAGCAAAACAACAATAACAACCATGATCAACAGTGTTCTCTTCGTCTTCATCTTCGCTTACTCTGGTGAATCGGACGTCATCAACATCAAGATGAATTTAGTTGATTTCCAGCTGTTCCTTCTTCTTCTTCTTAGTTTTCCCTCGAGAAAGAATAAAGATGCTTCTTCTTCTTCTTCTTCTTCTTTTTTTTTTTACACGTAATGACATTCGGAATGTATATATATATATATGCTCGCACTCTTTCCGTTTTCACACTAAAGTGCCATCATTAGTCGACACATTCTTCTTTAGGAGAAGAAGAAACCGCTTGACCACGAGTGTGAAGATGTCATTCACAAAGATTTATCTATCGTTCATTTTCTTACTTGCTAAAAAGATATAATTGACAGCTTTCTTCTTTTTCTCTACGTATAATTAGAAAGGAACTGTGTATTTTCGTCTCAGTGAATTTATGCTTATCTATCAAACTGTATATATGATGTAATCATTTGCTGACCGATTATTCACTTTGATGGACTGAGCTCATTCATTCACGCGCGTCTGCTTTACTTATATACAGAATGAATTATTTATTATCGTTCTAATTGAACACAATCACAACTTGCGCATGCGTCTAATTTAGCTAAGGTACTGTCATTTTCTATTTCCAGAACAATCGTTCTGTGACGAGTCTCGCGAGAGTAGTAGAACAAGATCAATAATAAGCATTCGTTCTTGTTACGAAGGCTTGGAGTGTTAAAATCTATCTATCGTGAATGCAAATAAGCTCTCTTAACATCGATGACTTATTTCATAATCAGTAGCGAACACGTAACTAATGTAAAGAAAAAATAGAAAGCGAGTAGCGAGGAGATGAACAGAACATGACAAAATTAAAAATACTATCATAAACATCAGTATGAAAAAAAAAAACTACGAGACCTTGATCAATCAGAAGATTTTTACTTTTGATTATATATTTTGATTGTTTTTAGATAATCATGTTTATTCGATATGTTTATTTTACATTAATTTTCATTTTTCTCAAACAAATCATATCATGTCCTATTCCATTTAATATTCAATCTAAATGTCGATGTGCAATTACTGAAACAGGTCGTGTTTATATTTATTGTGCACGAAAACAATTAACAGTTATACCTCATTTTGATAACAGTAAGTAAAAAAAATAAATCTATGAAATTGTATTTATTGTCTTGTCTTTTTTTTTTTGTAAGGCAATATTATTTTCGATGAACTTGTTTTATCCGGTAATCGAATATCTACTGTACATAAAAATGCATTTAATGGTTTAAAATTACGTAAACTTGAATTACAATCAAATCCTATTGAAATAATTGAAAACAATGCATTTATTGATTTAGCTAATTATTTAGAAGAATTTATTCTATCAACAACAGTTCTTACATCACAATTAACATCTCATACATTTCTACAAATACTTTCTGAATTACCAAATTTAAAACGTTTATCATTACGTTTATTTAATTTATCAAATTCATTAAATATATTAAATCATCAAAATTTAATATTAAGAAAATTAACACAACTTTCATTACAATCATGTTCAATTAAACAAATAAATGATATTGACATATTTGTTAATCTATTTCCTAATTTAGAACGATTAGATTTATCAGAAAATCGTTTAGAATATTTCAATATACCTTTAATATCATCATTAAAAAAATTAAAAATTTTTATATTAAGTAAAAATAAAATTCGTCATTTAAATATTCATTCATCATTATCATCAACAACTCTTAATCCATCAAATTCATTAATTGAACTTGATTTATCTTATAATGGTTAGTATTATTTTTCATAATTAAATTTTCGTAACATGGATAGAAAATCCGATATTAGAACACTAGCTATCATCCGTTTGATTATAAGCGCAAACAAAAAGTTCATTCTGTCAATATATATAAATTTTCATTTCATGCTATTTAATAATGGATAATGATTTATAATCAAATATCAAACATTTTTTTCTTGTTTTTGCTTTATAGAAGTCTCAAATTTTTTGATTTTCACAGAATCGATGTTATGTAACTATATATGTCTTATTCAATCAGGTTGTATTACATTGATCGATAGAACACAGCATAAACTATATAAGAAAAATCATTTCCACACAGTTGATCTTTGCACAAAATCAAGCTGAGACCTTCTGAAACGTCGTCCTACATAAGTTTATGTTAGTATATCTGTAGCACGCATCATAAAAATATCACTAATTGCCAAATGACAGTACATATCTTAATCTATATTTTATTAGACATTTGAAATATTTCCTTACACATTTGATATAATTTTGTAGGACATCAGAGACTATATTGACAATGAGATCGATTAGAATTATTCATTGTACAAAATTGAAAAGTATTAATGACATACCATAGTCAACAGTTAACAGAATAGTTCTATATAAAGATAGTTTTAACTTTTTTCATTTTCCAATCTAAATATCAGATATAAATTCATATGATCCTTATTACTAGTCAAATAGTTTTAATATGAATCTTTTAAAATATCCTTTAGATATCTATCATGAATTAGGTGTATTCAAGAGGCTATACTAAAGATTTCAATCCTATATGATGATGCTTTCGAGAAGTATTCAACAAACAAGGATCTAGAATAGCTCATTTATCAACCTAGAACTTTCTGTGAACCGTTGTTCTATAGATTTGATTTGTTTTATTTTTTTATTTGAAAAAGTATGCAACATTACAGTGCCTAACAGAGTCTTTGTTTTTAAATCCTTATTTTATGTGAAGAAAAAAGATAACAATTTCAATACCTCGAAAAATATTTCATCTGTTTATAAAAGTACTTTTTTTATACAAACAATAAAAACAGCTTAATTCAAAAAATAGACTCTGTCAAGCACTACAACTTCACATGCTCATTCAAATAAAAAAAAAAGCAATTAGCATTAATAAACTTCCTTCGGGAAATCCAGGATGCATGAACAGAAAAACATAAATAGAGAAAAAAACGAAAAAGATTTGCCACTTTTATTTTTTTGTAAAAAACCAAACTGTGACTTATCTTCACGTACATTTATTTCAATTTCAATTTTTCTGACGGAATTTGACTTATTAAGGGAGATGAGATCTTGATAAAAACATTTGACTAGTGAATATAAATAAATAAAATCTTTTTGTTTTTGTTTTCATTGTACATATAGGTATTGAAACAATTGATGAAAATATATTTGAATTAATCTCATCTCAACTTGAAATATTAAATTTACGAAATAATGAATTATTAACTGAAAATCATTTAACATTTTTAATTCATTTAAAACGTTTACGTGAATTTTATTTGGATTATAATCGTCTTGAATCAATAAATCAATTAAATTTTCCATTAAATTTAAAAATTTTATCATTAAAAAATAATTATTTAAATCAAATTGATTTATCAATATTAACACGTCTTGAATATTTAGAAAAATTATTTTTATCATCAAATAAATTAACAAGATTATCATTAAAAATTAAACATATATTTTCATCATTAGAAATTCTTGAACTTGATCGAAATTATTTATCATCAATTTTATCATTAAATGCACCAAAATTAAAACAATTAAATCTAGATGGAAATTATCTTGGAAGAAAATTTGATAAAAAATTTTTTTCACATTTATCATCACTTGAAAAACTTCATTTACGTGATAATCAAATTGAATTTATTGATAATAATGTATTTCAATATACACGTTTACAAGTACTTGGTATGTATCATAACTTTCTAATTTATCTTTTTGTTGAAATACAATATAAAAGAATGTCATTGAAAAATAGAATAGAATAAAATAATCTTCATGTGATTAATAACTACAGTTACATCGTATTTCACATTTTAGTCCTCGCAAAGATTGTGCTAATAGTTTTTTTTGTCCTCATTAAATTTATCTATTTAGATTTAAGAAATAATAGTTTGCGAACGTTTCCTTTATTAACAAAACTCAATGAAACATTACAAATTTTATCTCTTCGACGCAACCAAATATGTACCATAGATCAACATATCTTAAATTATTATCAAAATCTTCAAACGCTTGAACTTGATCAAAATCCATTACATTGTGATTGTCGAATGAAAAGAGATTTCAAACAAATTAAAGTCACTGGTCAATGTCAATCGCCATCAGAACAACGAAATATTAATTTAAATGAATTACCAAATGAACAATTAGCATGTAGTATGATGACTACACCACAATGTTCATATCTCACTAGAACAATAGTTGATAGTGAAACAGATACTACAACAACAGCAACAGCAGCAGCAGCAACAACAACAACAACTATTGTCAAAACTACTGCAATGAATATGTAAGTGCCATCTACATTGTTAAGATACCGACGACGTTAAATCTAGTAGAGAATATTGTTTAAATTAATGATTTATTTTTATTGACTGTTTATCGAAACGGATTCATATACTTTTTTTAAGATCCATATTTTGTAATTAGTTCAATAAAAATTTGTTTATTTCGACTTTTTTAGAATACAAATATAGATCCCTATTGAAAACGAAAATTTGTGATATAATTAAAATACAAAACTCTTGAGATTCATAGATTTGCTTTACTAAAGAATTGCTTTGGATCGAGAGATTCTTCCGTTTCTTATGCTATATTGTTTTGTCAAAGTCAAGCAAAACCATCAATTAAGACGAAGACGTCACCGAAGAGAAATATGATTTAAAGATTTTTAAAGATACACATAATGCGAAAGATAACATCATTAAAAAAAATGAATGCCTTATTAAGGCAATTTAAAGATGAATATATTAACTATTCTAAAGTTTATGGATGTCCTCAGATCTTTAGGTTGGAGGCTAGTTAGCCATCTCCGTTCGAGCCACTCCTACTAAACCCCTCTCCATAATACAACATCTAGGCCTTTCTTTCATATCCATGTGTATGAATTTTTCAAGAGAGTCTTCTATTATGTCTGATATTATATCATAACTTATAAATAAAAAAGATTCTCGAAAATCAATATTATTTCGAGAATTTCAAAAGATATTTTCAAGACTTTAAAAAAACTAAAAATAATGTTAATTTCAGTCGTGTAAGATTATTCAGATGAAAAATCTGAAAACAAGATATATTTTAATATGAATATACTAATTAAACTTCCAGCAATTCAAGAAACTCATGAAGCGAAGTCGTCTGTTGCAGAGAAGAGCTTCTGCGAGAGTATTCATCATTTCTCCTTTAAGTGAAGATGAAAAAAAAAGAACTTTTCGTTCTATAAACTCCATAAATCGAATTTCAGATTAGTTGATATTATTCTTGTAAAAGTCAAAAGAAAGACTTAATTGATTTCAATTATTATTATATCTAAATAATGTTTGCTATTAGTCTTACAAGATTTAAAATTGATCTATATTAAACTAATGCTTTTAGAGTTGCAGAACTTATTGACAATATTGATGAACAACAAAACTTATTCACCACAACAACAACAACAACAACAACAACAATAATTAATAATTTCTCATTTGAATCTATTCGAATAGCTGATTTAATAATAACACCAAATATTGATAAATCTAAATTATTAATTCAATGGCAATTACTTCCATCAATAATTGATGATAATTCAAATGATGAATATCGTCGAGCATATTTAGAACATCATAATATAAATGGTTTTAAAATAAGTTCAAATTTTCCAATATATAAAATGAGTGAATTACTCGATATTTTACAACGAAATTATACAATAGAATATATTCAACATGGTGAAATATGTCTTTATCTTCTTTATAAAATAAGTTATGAAAAATTTTGTAAACAATTACTATTTACATCAACACAAACATTAAAATCATCATTTATTATTGATCCAAATCAACAACAACAACAACAACAACAATCATGGTATATGAATGAACCAACCAAAAGTATTTTTATTGGTTCAATGTTTGGTATTCTATTTGTACTTATTATTCTTACATCGATTATTATAATTATATCTCGTTGTCCATATTTATTATTTTGTCATTCACGTTCATCAAAATATCATCATAATAATGATTCAAAAAGTGAATCACTTCTTGTTCGTCCAACACCAACAAATACCATTCCATGGCCAGTACAATCCCAACAACATTTTTATCCTCATCAACATCATCATCATCATCAATTAAGACCTGTTAGTTATCAAGCAAGTCTATCAACTCAATGTACATGTCCAACACATTATCATAGTAGTGGTTCATCATCAACCGGTGCTAGTTCATCGTGTAATCATGGACAAAATTATCATATTTATCAAGAAATAATAAATGATGATTTAAATGCAACAAATATATCGAATAATTATCGAACATGTCATCCTTCAAAAATTGATGCAAATTCACCACTAACATCATTATCAACAAATACAACAATGAATTCCGAACAGTGTCAACTATGCTCGCTTAGTGTACTTGTATGAAATTTTTTTTTTTTTGTATTGCCTTTTTCTTTGTTTTTTCATATAATAAGAGTATTCCGATTAAAATTGAAATTTCAAAGTCTATTATTTTCAACATCATGTCTCATGTTGATAAGATCAAGAATGAAATGAAATATCTCAAACAAGAAATGTACTTTTGAACTGAAATTTTCAGAACATTCTAATGATCATAACATGTGTATCTATGAGCAAAATTTCATAATTGGATCCTTTTAATATATGCCTCGCTAGAGACAGGGAAACAATCGTAACTCGAGAAGAACAACGTAAAGAGACGAATACTTTTAGACTTCTTCTAATGTTCGCTGAGACCTTCTCTCGTCAGATAACTAGAGCCGAGTTGTGTCACATATCCAGAATATCGGGAATCCTGGAGATGCCACGAGAGATGCGAGAGATGCCAAATTGCCTCATAACATACTGTTCATTTGCTACATATATCTATAATTCCTGCCAGACTTGCATCTTCTGTAGAGACACCGCAATTCCAGCGCATCTCCACAGGGAGATGCCGCATCTCCCAAATCTGCATCTCCTGATAAAATTTCTTTTTTCGATTTTTAGCCTTGGACCCTTCAGGGAGATGCATCTCACTCAGGAGACGCGGTATCTCCTGTAGAGATGCCGCATCTCCAGCACATCTCCACAGGGGGATGCCGCATCTCCCAAATCTCCATCTTCTGATAAAAATTCTTTTTCCGATTTTCAGGCTTGGACGCTTCAGGGAGATGCATCTCCCTCAGGAGACGCGGTATCTCCTGTAGAGATGCCGCATCTCCAGCACATCTCCACAGGGAGATGCCGCATCTCCCAAAGCTGCATCTCCTGATGAAATTTTTTTTTTCGATTTTTAGCCTTGGACCCTTCAGGGAGATGCATCTCCCTCAGCAGACGCGGTATCTCCTGTAGAGATGCCGCATCTCCAGCACATCTCTACAGAGAGATGCCGTATCTCCAGCACATCTCCACAGGGAGATGCCGCATCTCCCAAATCTGCATCTCCTGATAAAATTTCTTTTTTCGATTTTTAGCCTTGG